TATAGCATAATTTCAGTCCCTTTGACACGCTTGTATGCTTGCCTTGGACACCTCTTTAATGCTTTAAAAGCTTGTCTTGCATGCTCCACGTTTTGGTCATTGTGCATGTCTTTGAATTTGAGCCATTTAGATGCCATCTAAGTGGTCTTTTGGGCTTTATTTTATGTGCTAAAATTCTTTTTTTAGTCGTTTAGTTCATGCCATGTTTGGTCTTGCTAAGTGTAGTTTGATACTTCATTAGTTTGCTTAGAATGCTTGGACCATTTGTTGCATGTTTAGCCTATCTTGCTTGCTTGGTCTGGCACCATATTCTCGCACGATTTTCAGATCTTAGTGCATGTCATTTGTCCATGTTTATACCCTCTTGAGTGTGCTTGAGAGTTCCCCCTTTTGTGCCTGAGTGTTGGCCCTTTAACATGTGCATGTGTGTATGTGTATTTGGTCCTTTATTTTGGTCATTTTGGCCACTGTTTTGGGCCTTATTAGAGCTGCCCAAATCATGTTTAAGTCCATTATTTGTTTGCTTGCATGCTCACCTTGCATGTTTGTTTGCATGCTTGCATGTGCATCTCGCATTCCCATGTTGCATCCTTAGCTCGCATGCCTAGGTTGTATTGCATTTAGCATGCATGTCTTGCTCCTTGATCTAGTGATAGGAATTGGACTTTGGTTTGTTGGTTTGCATTGCATTTGACATCAAATGTGCATGCTTGGTCTCTTGGGCTATCACGCATTGAAATGCGCGATTGGTGGTCCGAGAACCAAGAAGCATGTTCCTTTGAGTCATTACCATGATAAGGGACATGATTGGTGCATACATTGCTTGAATTGTATCGCCATGCTCTGCCTTGCCCTCTGTTGTTGTCAATTGCAGGTTCTGCAGGAACTCTCTGCCGACCGGCAGTGCCAAGTGCCGACCGGCAATCCTCATCCGGCCGATGGCTTCACCAATGGCCGGTGACCACATGCCACTGCCGGTGGCAATCCTATTTAGCCGGTGGTGTCCCCCAATGTCCAAGGAAGCAGTCCTGAGACTTTGGAAGTCCCCAGAGGAGTATACCAAGGAAAACAGAGGAAGCCTAGGCATGGCGGTGCACTTCCGAGTAGGACCGAGCATGCATTGCATCGAGCTCTCCTCCCGAGGCGATTTATCTGTTTTCCCTAGATTAGTTAATTTGCTTAGCTAATTAGATGGTTTGTAATATTTAATTAGCTTGTAGGTTAATTATTTGTAATATTCTTTCGGTCCCTCCGAGCGAGGGCAAATCTGTAATAAGTGTGGGTGCGTGTGTGTACATGTCTTCCAATCCCCACTTCTTTCTTCCCTTTTATTTACCTGCTTTGATGGTTAGTAATAGGTCATGTTTAAATTAGCATACCTTATGCTATGCATGCGTGCATCCATACTTCTGTCTTGCATGCACCGGGCTCGGTACATCATGCTAAATGCATTCGTCTTCAATTCCAATTTTGTAATACGTGCATCAACAACTGGCATTTCACGATGCCATGGCTTAGGTTGCCCGAGCCATCCTATATGCATCCTGTTTATGTGTTGCATTGTCAAAATGACATGAACTATGGTATCACGATGTTTGCTAACCGTAGTTTTAATTGGTTTTTGGCACAGAGTAACGATGTAAAAAGGTTTTATTTTTTTTTTGATGCCTTTTTTTAGCAAACCGCATGCGTGTGAGTGTTGCCATGAACAGTAATCTTGCCATGGCGGCTAAAAATGCTTACGGTGATATTCTGAATGTGAAATGTCGTGGGTGAAGGTTGGACATTGTCTGAGTTGGAAAACTCGTTGAAATCCGTATTCTTAGCCTACTTGCGAGTAGGCAAAGTTTCTGAAACATTTTCAAAACAAACGGATATGCAATGCTTATTTCCAAATTTAGTGCATCTAGTCTTACTTGTTTGCTGTGCGCCATAAACATAGTAATTTCTAAGGCTATAAATGGAATCAAGAACATAATAACATTTTCAAAAACGGATATCACGGTTAGTAGAGGGCCGATCTTCGGATCGGGCGAAGGGGGTGCTTCATAGCTGACTTGCCCGAATCGTACCACAAGCTCCCGAGCCAAAGGCAAACTTTGGTGATGACGGGACCACTGTCTTTCTTGGCACCGAGTTCAGGGTTTCCGTAGAATGTTCCCATGTAAAAAGATTAGTTTAGGTGGTGAGCTCTAATATCTAGCAAAGGCAGTCCATGTTTGGCACTTCTTTTCAAAAAAAAATCTGTTTCCTCAAAAACGATTTGCCTCGGATTTGGCCTTCCCTTTGGTTCAGATTAAGAACCGTGAACAGATTCGAGATCCGAAATGTAGCGAGGTCCCCCGCGGGACTTGTTACAGTTTTCTGGCGACTTCCGCTGGGGATATTTAGAGAGTTGACTCGAGCTCGTGATATCCTCGTTTTGAACTTCATTTTATGTGTTTCTTTGCATTGCATGTGCATTGGTGCGCCTAGGACACCGTGTTTGCCATCTGCCATTCCTGAACGGTTTGCCGGAGGCTTGTCTTGTCAAGGCATGACCATAAGGCTGACCGGTTATGGGCTCTGACAGCATGGGAACACAAACCCTGGTTTTACCGGGGCATCCTTTTCGACCATTCGACTTAGTGCATATTCAGATCCGTAGTGAGCATTCCAAACTAGGACAGGTTGCTTACCCGATGCTAGGTTGTTCGAAACTGCTGCGTGCATAGTGAAACCCTAGCTCCTGACAAAATAGGACAGAGAAACCTTACCCAACATAGGGGTGTTTTGGTTCTCTTTACTTGCTATGTGCTTTTAGAGTGTATCTCTACAGGAACGTACATATCAGTTTGCAAGATTGAGTATTAGACCCGAGGGAACCAGTATCAGTGTTACTAAGAATCAGTTGTCTGCGGGTATCAGGGTTCAGTTTCGGGGACAGTGATTTCTGGGAAACAGTGATCAGTAGTGAAGTGCAGTTGTTCAGTTACACCTGTATTTGATCCGTTTAGGCTGAGATGCTGCTTGTTTTCCCTTTCAATTCAGAGAGTTTAGAGAGTTGATACAGAATAGCTAGTGCTCCCCCTTGCTGAGGCAGGACTTATGATCTTGTAGAAATAGGTTTGCGTGAAGAATTGTCACCACAAATTGGGGAGAAACGAACATACTTGTCTCCAGCATGTTACACATTGTCCAAGGAGAAGAAAAGAAGAGTATGCACAACATTATTGGAACTGAAGGTTCCAGAAGGATACTCTTTAAATTTGGGAAGTCGTGTATCAATGCAAGATTTGAAACTTTGGTCTAAAATCACATGATTGTCATGTATTAATACAACAATTACTACATGTGGCAATACGATCTATGTTACGTAAGTATATGAGACATGCCATTATTAGGTTATGTTTCTTTTTCAATGCTATTTGTACAAAGTGGTGGATGTGTAAAACTTAGATGAGATTCAAAAAGATCTTGTGGTCACATTATATTTGCTTGAAAAGTACTTTCCACCTTTGTTCTTTGATACCATGGTGCATTTTACAGTGCATCTTATTAGAAAAGTTCGACTTTGTGGACCAGTTCACTTTAGATGGATGTACCAATTTGAACGGTTCATGAAGATCTTAAAGGGCTATGTTCGTAATTGTAATTGCCCTGAAGGTTGCATTGCTGAAAGGTATATTGTAGAAGAAGCTATTGAGTTCTGCACAGAGTACTTATCTGGAGTGGATGCAATTGGGATTCCTTCTAATAGGAACATGACAGTTGATGATGATATAGAAATTAGAAGGCCTTTATCAAGTGGTTATGTTGTTAATGTTGATCGTAATGAATGGGAGCAAACACATCGTTATGTGTTAGAAAATACAAGTGACAATCAACCATAAATTGAGTAAAAATATTTCATGTACATTTTCTTACAATTTTATTCTCATCAGTTAGAGATTTATCTCATAATATATTGCTTTATTTATGATTTGATAGGAAGCATATGGCTTGGTTGAAGCTAAAATATCATCGTCAATCACAAAGTCAAAAATGGCTACAAATTGAGCATAATAAAACATTTATGTATTGGCTTCATGAAAAGGTATTGAGGTAATTCAACATTTATCTTTTTCTAATACCGAATATTATTAACAAAAAATTAGCTAACTATTCAACTATATACAGGTCTCAGAGGAATTAAGTGTCCAAAATAATATCTCAAATAACCTGAAGTGGATAGCACAAGGACCTCGATTGGGCGTTATAAAATTCCCTGGCTATATCATCAATGGTTGTCGTTATCACACAAAAGATCAGGATAACTCACGAGTCAACCAAAACTGTGGAGTTAGTTTAGTGGCAACAACAAAGCAAGTGACAGGTTATAAGGATAAGATCCCAGTGTTTATGGATATGAGTTGCTATGTAGTTATTACTGAGATATGGCAACTTGACTACAATATGTTCAAGATTCCGGTATTTAAGTGTGATTGGGTTGACAACACAAAGGGAATTAGAGTGGATGAATTGGGTTTCACATTAGTTAAGTTAGGGAGGATAGGCCATAAAGACGATCCCTTTATTTTGGCTTCCTATGCTAAGCAAATTTTTTATGTACAACATCAACTTAATCCGAGATGGTCAGTTGTGCTAGAACCTCCTTAAAAACAATATTCTTGTGAAAAGGATGATGAGTTCTATGATTTTTGTATAAAGCATTATGGCTTTACAAAAGTTTTGCCAAAAGTTGAATCATTAGATGTGGTTGATGATTCTATGTCAGCTTACATGCGAGGAGATTGTGAGGGAACTTGGCTCAATAATCTATGATGAAAAAAATATGTCTTTGTAAGAATGTATGTCTAAGTGTTGTATTTTCATGTTAAAATGTTTGACTTATATTCATTTTCTTCATGTCTTTATATTTAATTGTCTAACTATTTGACCTTTTTTCTTAATTTTTTTTTATTTTTTTTATTTTTATATTCACAAGATGGATACTTCTCATGTCCTATCTACTGATGCAGAGGATGCATGGTTACCAGCAACAAAACCAAAATCTAATAAAAGAAAAGGCAGAGGTTTGACAACATTACCAGATGTCATAAAGGATAGGAGTTCTGGTGTACAAAAAGCCATTGACGATAACAAGAATGGTCAATCAATTGGAAACAATTCAATCAAATGTTCAAGCTATCATGGGGTGTTGCACAATCGTTTCGATATGCTATAAAGACTGGTTTGAGGTGCCAGATGAACTAAAAGAAAAATTGTGGAGTTGTGTGGAGGTAAGTAAGACTAATAAACACGTATTTAAGTGCAATCAAAATTTGAATTTTATAACATTATATTTTTTGACTACTCAGTTAACATACAAGCTGGATGAAAGAAGTAAGAAAAAAATGTTATCTTCAATTTGTTCAAAATGGAAGACATTCAAAAAAGAACTTACCAAGTACATACGTGAAAACAAGTCTAATCTTGAGATCATACCAAAAGAGTTTGAGGTAAAAATAATCAAACTTTAGTTATTTTACTTGTAGTCTATTACACTCTCACTGTTTTTGTCTGTAGGTAATAGAGCTGGTACTATTTGTGAGGGAGTTATTTGTTGTGGGTTGAGTGATGAGAAATCTACATTCTTGGAGTGTATTTTTTTTATTTTATTTTTCTTATTTCCTTTTTGTGCTCAACTATCTACATTTCTTTGTTGAGCTTGAGTGCCTGTGTGTGGGTTGAGTTTTTGAGGTTACATAAAGTGAGTCTTGCTACAGATCTGAGCACAATTTCTTATACGTTTTGTTTATCATGGTTGGTGTTCACAGGAAATACTGAGGTATTCAATGAGGTATGATGGAGGTTGCTCTTCCTACCAACTAAAAATGGTTATCTAGAATATCTAAGAATACAAGAAAACTGAATTTGAAAACAATGTTGTGGCAAATCCTACATTAGAATTTTAAGCATTCCACAATTTTGTCAGAGTCTGTTTTCATGACTCTTGATCTACTGCAAAAGGAGAGAGGATGCACAAATTCAAACCTAGTCTTTAATTCTGTCGACTGTCTTAAACTTTTTTGCTTATGACTATCCCTTAATGTTAGTGCTCACATGTTTAGAGAATTAAGCTCAAGTTTGTTGAAATTTCCGGAATGACAGTTATTACCATAGGATTGAAAATCTTAATGAACTTGCAACCATGTTTTTCTTGAAATGTTGCTATATAGGGTACAATCATGTGCAATTAGCAAATTCAGATGAGCCCCTTTTTGAGTGCCTTTTTAGTTCATAGTTTTTTGATGTTTTGACTATGTTGGTTTTGACAGTGAGTGTCAACTGATGCTTAATGAATCTATTTTGCTCAAGGTTGCTGCAATTTTTGAGATTGAATTTCTTAAGACATGATTTTTATTGATGGATTATGAGCGTGGATAGGAGAATGAAAAAGTACAAGGACTAAGCTGGCTAGCTTAAAGGTTCATGATGATCTTTTTTGCTTCTTAATCAATCTTAGTTCTTTTTATTTTCTCTTTCAGTTTTCATATCTTCTTTATTTGTTTAGTTTTATATCTTATCTTTTGGAGCAAACAGTAAAAAAATTTAAATTATTGATCCCACAAATCCTAAACACCCCAACCCTTATAGCCAATAAAAACAAACTTCTTTCTCAAGGTCATGATCTGCAAAATAGCTATTAGTGCCACAATCTCCAAAACAACTATTAGTTCCACAAGAGTATATGAAAAAGTAATAAACATATGGCTAGATTATCTTGAAGCATTTGAAGCATGAGATGGAAAACATGAATAAATGCAACTTGGAGATTTTAAAAACATATAGCATGAATAGCTGAAAACTAAGACACATGCACCCGACCGACCCATGGCATGAAAACTTGAAATCCTAAGACATGAATACATGAAATCCTAAGACACATGCACCAGACATGATGATCAAAGTGTTCATGCTAACAAACTCTTGCAATGATAAACTAAACTCCCACTCACTAAAAGCAACCACAAACACTGAAAACAGTGAACAAAAAGAAAACGACAAAAATAATATGGTAGAGTAAGCAAGGAATTTCAGATTAGTACCTTAAAACACACAAGACTATCCAAGAAGCACAATTACTTGAAAACACAATGTGCACATCCTCTAGAAGATTCCTCATAAAAAAAAGTGAGGCATTATGTGAAAAGCATAGATTCCATGAGAAAAGTGTGTGTGTGATTCTTGGACTTCGACAAACACTAGATTCAATCCTAGTAGTGATCTGAAAGTTGAACCTCCGACAAGAGAATCTAAGCATAACAAAAGAAAGTCAAACCACTAGGAATCAAGGGGTATTTGGTGAGTAAAGATGGAGGCTCCCCCTCAATCAATGAATCTTTTATTTTTTTTCCTCTATTTTTTTCACATCGTTTTCTTTTCTTTCTTTTGCACATTTTTTCCGTTCTTTTGGACATCTTTTCTTTTCTTTCTTTTGCACACTCATTGCCGGCTAACACGCTCAAGAGTATAGAAACCGAACCAGAGAAGCATGGATATAATAAGGATGGCCTGGTTGGTGACTCTGAGGTAGCCTTTTCCTCATGCCTAGACTACAAAGAATAGAGGGAAAAGTCGTGGAGATGCAAAAAGATGGAAGATGGTTAAGAAACTCAACATCACCCATGACATGCTAGTATAGGTCAATTCCTCTAGAAACGCAAAAGATCAATGACAGAAGTCCATAGAAAAAAAATAATCACTAAGGCGGAAGACTCCAAAATTTGCTAATCCAAGAGTGTGTACAGAATGAGACATACTAATCAAAAAACTCGCACTCCAAAATGAGTGATGACCACAGAAAGCACACATATATTAACATGTAATGGATATTCTCATCAATTCTAATATGCACCAAGGACCACTCAAAAATTTCAAGCTTGCAAAACCATACTAAAAAAATCTTTTTAGGATTTTTTTTTTTTTTCAAAAATAAAGCAAGACAAAAAAATGAACAAGCACACATGTAATGACAAAAAAAAAAACAGAAACCCAAAAACTAAAACGAATAAACAAATTAACAATATCCTATCTTAGAATAAACAAATTAACACAAGTCAAGCTTTTTTACCCAAACCGCTTTAGTATGAACAAAGTTGTGAGAATTGCGGTTCTTGGGTGGTGTCTTGACGTTGTGGTTCCCTTCATTTTCAATGAGAACCCGTCTTGACATAGTTTCCAACTTCCTATTAACCTTATTACCACCAATGGCGTGTCTCCTACCCCACGAGATGTTGGAATTTCTTCCATCTCGATGAGACACTCTCTCATGCAACTCATAACAATAAGGGCGAATATGACCATGCGTACCACAATGATGACAAATAAACACAGGGTGTACCTTATTTTGTTTTACCGTACCAACTCTAAGAAGTTTGAGAAGTCCATCCTTATGCTGAATTTTTTGTTCTCCCTTTCCTTGAGTTCTTGTATCATGAGATGTAGATGCACTCTGTTTTTGCTCTTTGTTATCACCAAAGCCAATGCCACTCTTGTCACAACACATTTATTGAGACCCAATGACATCCTCCAAAGTCTTTGAACCTTTGTTCCAAAGACCAATGGTAGCCATAGCACACTTAAGCTCTTCCTCTTTCTTGATCATTAGTTCTTCCAAAGCAACTTGAGGCATCTCGAGAGTTTTAATTTTTTCTTCATATGTTGCATAGATTTGCTGTAGCTTATTCCCCTCTGTCTCACAAGTCAAGAGTTTTGCACAAAGAGCTGGTCGATGATTAGAAATCTTAAGGGCATCATTCCTAGCCTCGGAAATCTCTTTCTTTAATTTGACATTCTCACTTTCACATGCTTTGAGTTTCGTAGTGAGTTTGTCATTCAATTTGGATAAGTTAAGAGACTCCTTATACAACTTTTCATAAGGTTGCTCAAGCTCTTCATCATCACTCGCCGTGGATTTATCATCAGTGGCATTCTCAACCGACCTCTTCGGATACTCTATTTCTCCTTCAGTTTCGGAAGCCGCCATGAAAGCAAGGAATTGTTTATGTCCCTCTTCGCCTTGATCTTCGTTGTCACTTTCATCTTCATCATATTCTGATTCATCATCCCAAGTGATGGCGAGGGCTTTCTTCTTCTTCAAACGAGTGGGGCATTCTGAAGCAAAGTGGCCAAATCCTTGACATTCATAGCATTGGGACTCTTTCAGCAGTTTTCCTTGTATCTTTCCCTTTCTCTCTTCTTTGGCTATAGCAATTAATTTTTGAGTTTAATCTTTGCTTAAGATTTATTGAGTATGAGTAGATTCCCAAAAGATTAGGATTCTTTTTTCAGAAAAGATCTTTTTAAATTGTTTGACAAAAAGCAGCCGTAATCTTGGAATCATATCTCACATCCCATCAGAAATCCATCTCCAACTCTAAGAGCATGACTAAAAGCAAATAGCATCTTTTTGTTTCTTTTGAAATCCTATGTGCCTCGATAAGTTTTGGAGATTTCCAACCAACTATCCAGCTTGAGGTTGTCAACATCTTGAGCCTCCTTAATAGCCGTAACTTTTGGTTGGAACCGATCGGGCAAGGATCTCAAAATTTTTCCCACAACATTGGATTCTGGTATTTTTTCACCTAAATTGAAGCTGGAATTTACAATGTCACTCAACTTCGCATAAAATTCATCAAAGGTCTCACTATCTTTCATTGAAAGGTTTTCGAAAGTAGACGTAAGCCTTTGAAGTTTTGAGCGTTTAACAGAATGAGTGCCCTCATGAATAGTTTGTAAGATATCCCAAGCCTTTTTTGCGACTTCACAATTACAAATTCGACTAAACTCTTCAGGTGTGATAGCGCAAAAAACAAAATTGATAGCTTTACTATTCCAACTACTATTTTGGTAATCAATTGTGTCCCACTTTTCAATTGGTTTGGGGAAAGTTACTCCATCAACGGTAATTGTTGGTTCGGTCCACCCATTCATGACAGATTGCCAAAATTTTTCATCTATAGATTTCAAAAACGATCTCATCCGAGCTTTCCAAAAAGAATAATTGGATCTGTCAAGTAGGGGTGGTCGAGCCATAGAATTTTCCTCATGAATTGAATCCATTATCACAATTCAAACAAGATCTCGTTCTAAAATAATTTTTTTTAAAAAAAAATAGAACGACCTGTTCTGATACCAATTGAAAAATCTAGAAATCTCCTAGATGTTGATTTGTGATTATGTTTCAATTTTAAGCTGTTGATTTGTGATTATGTATCAATTTTAAGTAGTATATAACAATCCCAATCAAACAATCAAGACAAAACAACATAATGATTTTACGTGGAAAAACCACAATTGGACACCTTTAATTGTGATAAAAAACCATGGGCAACAGCCACAAAACAATCCACTAAGAAGATATAAAGGAATTACACAGGTATACTCTCAATTACCTAGCGAATCCACGCCCGAATTGAACCAACCTCTATGTGTCTCTTTCAACCCCGTCTTCACCTCGGAATTGTCTTGACAATGAGCCACTCCAGAATCCACCAAAGTTTCAGGCTTGTATTCTTCAGAATCCACCAAAGAACAACTCTCTCTTTTGCATAGAATTAAACAAACAATCCTTTGATGTAAACTTCTAAAACCATGAGTTGAACACTCAATCAAAACATCAAAGAAAACTAGCAAAATATCTCCAAATATAAACCTGAGAACCCAAGAAGAAGATCTGGAGAAATAATCCTAAAATCTGATAGAAACTCGTACTTATAGAAATCTGGAACTGCGAGGCTCGCTCAAGCGAAGACTCTCTCGCTCGAGCGAGGAACCAAAAACGCGTGTTTTCCATAAGTGGATTCGCTCGAGCCACGCACCCTTCACTCGAGCGTACATTCATCTCTTTCAGGTTTTTACACAGATGCAGCCTTCACTCAAGCGAGCAAGGGCGGACAGGCAACTTTGAATGCTATTTTGCATTTTGCTTCGGGGGCGCTGCCCCTCGACCCCGCCGTGGCGCTACCCCGGACCTGCCAAGGGGCGCTGCCCCTCAACCCCCGCGAGCTAACCAGGCAGCTCGATCCCCGTCATAATCTGCGAAGTGGCAATCTTGAAAGTATTAACAATACAACTTCTCTGCAAGGCACAATTCGGGTTGGATTCGCATCTAAACACTTATAGCCTCACTGAAATAAAAAGTGCGAAAACAAATACAACTTAAAAGAGTTTTGTCAAACAGGGTTGCCAAAAATAAAAACCTAACAGCCTTCATGATCCTAAACAAAATAAGAGAAAGGTGTGCAGTTTTTATATACTGATGTTGTTATAATTTATAATATCGTTAGTGATATTCTTAGAAGTTCCATTGTTAACTTTGTGTGTTATAGGGAAAACCGTGTAAACTCGCGGTAGGTTCCATTGAAAATATTGTTGCTCATGGTATGATGTATGAGAGAATTGAACCCAATGAAGCCATTTGTACAGTGCCATTAGGAGAATCCAATGTACGTGTGTTGATTCAAGTTGCTATTCAAAAAGATGCCCCACTTCCTATAGCTATCCCAGATGAGATGCTTATTATTGGACAAGCAGTGGGATTTTTTGTTGCTTGGCCCAAAAATCTTGTATTTGTCGATGATGAGGTAAAATATTCAAACTTAGAAACTTTATTACACTTTCTTAAAATTGAAGTTGACTTATATATCTTTATTTTGAAAATTTTAAACTTAGGGAGCTTTAATTAATGTTGAATGTGGAAAATATCAAGAGCCCATTCAATCTTTTGTTTCATTAGTCGAGTATATCAAGTATGATGAAGCCATGCACATTCCACTAGAGAAAAACATATTTGGGGAGGAGATCAATATCCAACTTCAAAGAGTATATATGGAGTACATATGTCATGTAAAAGAATTATCTGTTACATGTATCATGTTGTACATAAGGTAAGGAAAATTTACTACATCAATAGCTATTTCTGCAGATTTTATGAATTATGATTTTAATTAATATTTATTTCTCTTATTAGTCATCTCCATCAGGTGTTGAAGACTTCCAATTGGAGGAAACAATTTGTATTTGTTAACCCTTGTGTCGTTAGTGGAAAAACTATGGCTGGGGAGAAATCAAAATCAGTGTTGCTTGCAAGAAGATTAGAGGAGACTATGCTAGAACAATTGATTTTAATTCCTTATAATATTGGGTAATTATCTAAAACTATATATTTCATGTGTTTCAAGGATAATAAACTTATTAAGCTTATACTTGTGACTTGTTCAATTGTAGGTGCCATTAGATATTGTTAGTCATTGATCTAACATTGATGATTATACTTGCTTGATCCAATTAATTCTAAAATAAACACAAGCCTTGAAATTGTAATAAACATGTAAATTTGGTTTGTTTGTACATTTTTAAGCAATATGAGTTAATCTAAAAATATTGTGACTTTTGAAATTTTTTTTGTAAAGTTCTTTGAAAATTTATGAAACTACCCAAAGGAGAAGAAGGACCAATCCAGTTTGGAAAGTAGTTCAGGTAACCAATATCATTTTCTCTAATTTTATCATACTTATATTTGTGCTAATTGTTGTTCAACTTGATCATAACGCTTTATGTGTAGTTTCTAATAATAATGAAAATGCTTTCATGTAATCCCCTCAGCAACCCACAAATGTGGAATGTGGATTTTATGTAATGAGATATATGAAAGACCTTATTAGAGATCAAAACATCCTAAGAAAACAAAATGCTAGATAAATTCTAACTTTTATTACTATTTTATTCATGATATTTGTACATTATTATCTAATTGTTTCTAAATAATCTCTTGCAGTTCAATGAAAAAAAAACTTATACGGAAACCGAACTTGATGAAGTGCGAGTTGAATGGATTAATTTCGTAGTAAAAAATATGAGTTGAAATCCAACATGCAAATATGATATAACTTCCGTTCTTTAAATTGCTAATAAACAATTTCTTTAGTTGATAAGAAATATATAATCACTTATTGAGGTGTGACTTATTGAGGAATATATGACTTATTGAGAAAGCACTGGCACTTCATGATAACTCTCAATTTCCGGCCTTGGTCCTTAGCTTTATTGTTGTATTTGATGATCATTGTAACCTTTTTCATCATTAAATTTCTTTTGTGAGACTAAAACAGTCTCTACAAATGATAAGTTTAATCATATATGTTTCTGGCGGTTTCTGAATTAATTTGTATTTTTATTTTTCAGATTAGAAATTTCTTGAGGAGATGCAAAATATGGTCAAAGAATTCAAAAACTTAGTTTTTCAAGTTTTTTTTTTTTTTAATATATGTAAGCACAATTTAAAACTTTTTATTTAATTCCTTTGTATTTACTTTTGAGCATATTTAACTTTCATTTATAAAATATATAATGTTATTCCATTCAATATGTGATTGTGATTCAAAGTATAATATATAGCATGTATTACATTCTTGAAATACGTGTACAAAAATAATATTGATTATTCTTCAAATATGTCGAATCCTTTTTTTATCACACGCATTAATTGTGATGAGAAATGCATATAACATGTGATCTTATCTCATTATTAATCACAGGTTTTATTAGGTATTAATCACATTTACAATCTGTGATATTGTAGACACCTCATTTTTTACTATCCTTAAGACTTGGACGTCATCGTTTGAACACTAGATGATTACCCTTGTTTGTGTTCGTCTTGAGTTCTCGGAGGTTTCGGCTACGCGCCTTACCTCAAGACCTCTCGACTTGTTCATTTTGTGTTTGGTTTTGCATCAAACACTTTTTGTTTTGCTTCTGAGGGTGAAAAATAGCTTATAGGCCATCCCCACACCTCACCGGCCATGGCTTGAGGCCACCGGCCTTGTTTCCTTGCCACCGGCCATTGGTGATGGTCGGTCGACACTATTGATGGTCGGTTGGCATTGTGTTTGGTCGGTCGGCCACTGATTTTGGTCAATCGGCCACTTTTTCTGGCCGAGACCTTTTCTTGAGGGGGGTTTGAACCTTTCGAACCTTTGGTTTTAGCTTCTGGAGGAAGGTTGAACCTTTTGAACCCTTGGTTCTAGCTTCTTGAGGAAGGTTGAACCTTTTGAACCCTTGGTTTTAGCTTCTTGAGGAAGCTTGAACCTTTTGAACCTTTGGTTTTAGCTTCTTGAGGAAGCTTGAACCTTTTGACCCTTTTGTCAAGCTTCTCCAAGAAGCTTGAACCCTTTGTCTAGCTTCTTCAAGAAGCTTGGCCCTTCTTGGCCCTTTTTGCTCCAAGCTTCTAAGAGAAGCTTGGACACTTCTTCCTCTATAAAAGAAGAGCTCCTCTTCCATTGCAAGGGTTCTAAGAAATTTGTCCAAGACAAAAACATATATCTCTCTTGATATCTCTACATCCAAGCCTCCAAAGTGCTTGGTTCTTGACCCCTTTGCACCCCAACTCCTAAGCACACACCTCCACTATTCATCTAAGGTTCTTGGAGGGTCTTGTGGGGGCTCAAGACTTGGTTTTGACTCAGAAAAATCTGCTGGAGTGCTGGTTTTGAAGAAGGTCTTCAAGGGTGAGTTTCTAAGCCTTAAATCCCCCGTTTTTGCACACACTTTTAGCCTGTCTTGCATGCTGTTTTGAGCTTAACTTATAACTGAAAAAAGTCTTTTTTTTTTTAGTTCTTTAAATAGTTGTTTAAGGTCACTTTTGTGTTTGGGGTTGTTTATCCCCTCTTAGGCCTTGTTTGGCCCCATTTTGTGCTATTTTTGGTGAGCTTCGGGACCACCTTGTTTGGGCCTCCTCACCACTGAAATCTTAAGGGATTTCAGTGGTGAGGATGGTGGTTTAAGGTCCTAAGAAGGAGAGGGCCATCCCCTCTCCTTGTTGTCTTCAAAAAGTGCCATTTTAGCCTCATGTGTGAGCACCATTTTTAAATTCATGTTGGCCATGTCTTAAGTTTTATTTGTGCTTATTTTGCCATGATATAGCACTGTTTTAAGTTGGTTTAGACACACCATGCTTTCTTTGCATACTTGTCTTGTAATGCCATGAAATTGCCTTAACATGTATCTAGCATTTAGACCACTATGCTTACTTGTTTTGGCTTGGCTTTGTGAAGCTTTTATGCATGTTTTAGTGTGCTTGAGGACTGTTTTTGGTTGTTTGGGTCATCCATGCTTTTCTTTGTATAGCTACCATGTAATCTCCCTTGTAGGCCTTGACTATTGGACCCTCTAGCATGCTTTATTTGCATTATTTTAGTGGTTCGGAACCACTTGCCGTGTCATTTCAGTCCTTATGGCATGCTTGTATGCTTGCATTTGATGCTCCTTTAATTCTTTAAGAGGTTGGTGTCTTATGCTCCATGTTTGGCCCCTTTTGCATGCCTTTAGAATTAGGCCATTTAGATGTCATCTAGGTGTGTCTTTGACCTTGTTTTGGCATGATTTGGGGCTGTTTTGTTTCACTTTGGTCATTTGCTCCATGTGTCACATGACCATAGTTTAAGTCCTTGGGCTTGGTTCCGTGCCTTGCATGCTTGTTAGCTTAGGTTGTGTGCCTAGTATACATTGCTTGATGCTCATGTTACATACTTAGCTCACATGCTTAGGTTGCATTTGGCATGCATGCCTTGCCTTTTGATTAACCATGATTGAGGTTAGGCCCCGTGTTTGTTTGTATGCATTTCATTCTAATATTAAATTGCATGCTTTGGCTTCTTGGGCCATCACTCATTGAAATGCGCGATTAGTGGTCCGAGGGTCGAGGACCATCCTCCTTTGAGTCACGAATATGATAAGGAGGGTGTTGGTGCAAACATTGCTTTGAAAATACTTTGCCATGCCTTGTCTGTCCTCTGCTGCTGTCAAAACAGGTTTCTGCAAGAATATTTGGTCGGCCGACCATCTATACTGCTGACCAACCAAATATTTGTGGCCGAGAGCTCCATAATTGGTCGATGACCAACTCCCTTTGGCCGATGGTGATCCCCCTTGATCGGTGGTGTTCCACAGTGTCCATGGAGTGTACCTTGGGACTTGTGCAATTTTCAGAGGAGCAAAGCAGTGTAAACAGAGGCAACAATGGCATGGTACCGAGTTTTCGGGCAAGGCAGATCGAGCATGCATCATCCACGCATTTCGAGGCAGGGCTGCAGCCACCCTCCTGCATTTAATTTGTTAATTAATTAGAAATTCTATAATAATTAATTTAGTAGTATTCATTTGGTTGTGTAATATTTATTCGGACCCTCCGAGTGAGGGCAATTGTGTAATAAGTGTGCTTGAGTGTGATGCATGTCTTACAACCCTACGTCTTTCTCTCTTTTATTTACCAGCTTACGATGGTTAGATTAGGACATGTTTCAATTAGCATACTTATTCTTGCATGTTTGCATCATTCATCTGTATTGCATGCACCGGGCTCGGAGCATCATAGTAACTGCATTGTATTTCAATTCTAAGTTGAATACGTGTTAGTTGTAGCATCTCATATGCCATTCTTAGGATAGTCGAGCCTATTTCTAGTTGCAGTTTGCATGTGTTGCATTAGCCATCTTAACATGAACTAGGATCATGCATTGATTTCTAACTAGTTTCTGTTTTGGCTCGAAGTACTCGGTAAGTGTTTATACTTTAGCATCCTTGCATGTGTGTGAGTGACTGCCATGATAACATGCTTACCATGAGGCTAATTGTTTATGTGATATAACTGCCTGAATGCCTGTGGGTGAAGGTTGGATTGCTTGAATTGGGACAATTCATTGAAATCTGTATTTTAGCCTACTTGCGAGTAGCAAACTTCAAACCATTTTCCAAACAAACGGATATGCAATGCTTTGTTCCAAATTAGGCGATCTAGTCTATACTTGTTTTGCTGTGCGTATCACATAGTAAATTTAGGCTAATAACCGGAATAAGAACGCATAATGTTTTCAAAACTGGATATCAAGATTAGTAGAGGCCGATCTTCGGATCACGCGAGATGGGGTGCTCATAGCTAACCTTCCCCAATCGTACCCAAGTTCCCGAGCCGAAGCAACTTTGGTGATGACGGACACGTGGCCTTAGGCAAATGAGTCAGGGTTTCCTAAATTCTCCCAAAATAAAATATTTAGATGGCGACTCTGTATCTGGCAAAACAGTCCATGTTTGGCACTTCTTTACAAAAATCTGTTTTCCAAAACGATTTGCCGGATTTGGATTCTTTGGTTCAGATTTAGAACCGTGACAATTTGAGAGTCCGAACTATAGTAAGCCCATATGAACAGAACGAGACTCATCCTCCCGGGGAGTTCGGGGGACGTCTACAGATATAAATGTTTATCATCACAAGTTTTATTAGTAATTAATCACATTTAAAAGATGTGATCTAAATGTTATTAATCACACTTAAAAAATGTGATCTAAATGTTTATCACAAGTTTATTAGTTTTTAATCACACGTAAAAGATGTGATCTAAATGTTATTAATCACACTTAGAACGTGTAATTAAAAATGACAATTTTTAATCACGTCTCTAAAGATCACACTTTAACAAAACTTAAAAGTGTGATTAAATAACATAAATCACACCAAAAAAATGTAATCTTTATCTGTTTTTATAATAGTGTGTTGTGGATTCACACTTATATAAAATATTTGATAAAAAATTTAATCGAACTTTTGAATCTCTATACAACAATGTTACGTATCATACAAAACCTTTCATAAAAATAATCATAAAAGTTTTGTAACTCTTAAATTACATTTAAAATAAAATGTCACACACTAATAAAAATAATTCAAAAATCATAAATCTTTCATTATCATTTTCATGAAAAAAAAATTTCATAATGCCTAATTTTTCTCATCTCTATATTACTCTAAATTATAAACGGCTGAGACTTGAACCCCTTATTTACGGACAACCAATTGGAATCAACCATGTAAGCAACGAGGTGAGACCGACAATGATTATTTCCCTCGCAAACGCGGCCTTACCTCTCTACCTTGTTCTTTTTCCCCATTCCGTCCATTACCACAAACAAACACTATAAACACCACCGACCCCCATTCACACAAACTCACTGTTGAATATTGGCTACAGATTCTGGCCATGTGATGGAAAGTGGCAGCCAGCTACATGGTGGGGAAGCCATGAGGCCATGTGAGTTGGCCATGAGGCCATGAGAGAAGCCATGTGAAGCTTCAATCTGGAAAGCCACCGAAAGCACAACAATGGACTGGCAGCCAGCTCATTTTCTTGCATTTGTAATCTCTATATAT